CATAGATTTCACATTGTTGTTTTTTTTCCAGCTTCCAGATGCTGAGTGAACAAAGATAACAATATAAAAGATGATTAGAATGTGTGTTCAGTGACTATGTTGTAGCATATGTCGCATGCCAAAGCACATTTATCACAACCCGAATTCTGCTTAAGCAAAGCAATGGACCCGCATTTTTTTTTCTGCTGTCTGCAAGCTGTTGCAATGGATTGAGGCAGCAGAGGGGCATTCAATCCAATCAGCGAAAGATGATGCAATGATGACAGAATATAAAATGTGCTAAAGCTTTAAAATGTTTTTTTCCGGTTTGTGAAACAGTTGAGGATATTTATAAATTTTGGTTTTGAGTAAAGTCAACTAATAATAAGCTGCTTCTACACTGCAGCCCCTGATGAAATTTTTATACACTTAGAATTTCCCATCTTTGATGTATTTTGTTGGACGCCTGTGTGATAAGACCAAGACGACACCAGGCATGCTAACAAGGAGGCCTGGTAGGAATCTGGAAGTGGCAAACAGGCTCATGTAACTGTAGGAGCTGCAAAGATCGAAAGCTCAGGTGGGAGAATCTGATTACCAGAAAACCCAAAAGTATTGTACTCAAAACTTGTGACTTTATAGCAGAGAGGGGAGAACAAGGCCAACAAGTCCAGCAGTTTTTCATATGGTTCATAGGAAATAGAGGTGCTCCGGTTGAAAAACAGAACCAATACATCTCAGGGAACACAACCTTCTAACAATGAAACATGGCGAAGGGAGCATCATACTGTGAGAAAGCTTTAGCATGGACACAATAAAGGCCAGTACTGAAAGGAAATCTCATAAAGGACACAAAAGAGGCTGAAGTTAACTTTTCAGCAGGACAAAGACCTTAAACATACAACCACAGCTTAAATAGAATAGCTTAGATAAAAGCATATTTCAGGTCTAAATGAAATGAAGCAATGACCTTTGTTATGTTGCAAAGAAGAATGTGCAACAATACAAATGTACTGTATCTGTCCAAAGATGAGGGAAGTTACATATAAATGCACCTACGATTCAGTTGATGATTATTCTAAGGAATTCTGATTTACACGGACAGAAATTCACAGACATTTCAGATTTCAAGCAGGTTAGGTTTCCTTCCACTTTAGTTCTGTCTATCAAACAAAGTAATACAGATCATTTGGTTATTTTCCTTTCAAAAAGTATTCCTGGTGAATAGATGAAGTGTAATGGTCTCCTAGCATGTTGCTGTTTATTCATATGTCTCAATGCCAGAACATATAGTTATTAAACATAGGCAGACTTGCTTTGCGGCTCTGTTTAGAGTTTAGCGAATTTGACTGGGATACACAGTTGACATGCAGGATCAGGCACTTGCCCCAGATGGGGGCACTGACCCTGGTGATGTCAACCATGCAGACCACCAGAAGGGCCTGCTTCTCTCCACTCTGATGCCTTAGAGAAGGAAGGAAGTCTTCCCCCATTCTGCAGATCTATACAGAGCCCCGCTATCTGCTGGTGACATTGGGCTGTTTTATTTCCTGTTATGAACCTCTTCTCCTCTTGCCCTGTCATAGACATAGACATTGGCTGGGGTTTATATTCTCCAGTGATCAACAGTCACTTCCACTGATTTAAAGTGGTTCTGTAAATGTTGAACAGCTGGTCAGTTCAAGAGAATCCACTTAGAGCAGATTAAAACAAACTGAGTGACTGGATAATGATTTTCTAACATATTTCATACATTAAGATTTCAAATAAGGACTATAGTGTTTAGTGATACACTGCTCTCATCTATCTGTCATTTTGTTGTAAAAGTGACAAAAAAGAAAGACTTAATTTCACGGAGGAAAGAATTCTGTTGTAATATTACCACTTTCCTAAAAGCGTTTGTCTGCCCCCCTCCTCCATCTTGGTGCCATCCTGACAAAGAGCTAAATGAATTAAACTCTCATTAAAAATGCATTTTATTGTTAATCATTTGCGAGCAAAGAGGATTAGGTTGCAATTTGTGAAATGACATCAAATCTATCCCCTTTCAAAAATAGACTCTTGAAATTGCTTTAAAACAAAATACTATTATCCGTCAAAACCACCTTTTAAGCCTCAAAATGAGCAAACCAGTAAATCCCTAAAATAGATAAGACACTGACCTGTGCTTAATTCTTATAATACAATAGGCATATGTTTCCTCCATCTGCTCAGCTAATGCATCGACAAACACAACAAACATAGACGCTTCTAGTCCATTTTTATCTGTCTGATTTCTAAGAACAGGTGTATAAACTATCTATTTCAGTGTTTCATTTAGCCTTCTAACCCCCAAAAATTCAAAATTAATGTAAAAAATGTTTGGCTATGATTAATTAATGGAGTGAGGAATTACAAGAGTCACTTTTTGTTGCTCACTTCCGAGTGATGCTCAGCATGAAATATTAATAGAAAAATCACCTCAAATACCCAGCTCTTCAAAAATGTGAAGAACATGTAGAATTTTATAGCAGGCTGGGAGACAAGAGCCGAGACTCTTAAGCCAAGGCTGTCATACAGGGGAGGAGAGGAGGTGCAGAGAAGAATGAAACTTAACAAGAAAATATGGAGTTTCTTGTTATACAATTCAGGCTTCTTTTACCTGCACCCTATGAGCTAAAGTTTATATTCCCATTAATTAAACACATTAACAAAGCTCATGCGTTTTCCCTTCTCCTAATTTCACCACATTTGCAACAAGTGTTTAGATTATGAAAGCAAGTCTTATTTTAGGTTGAGCATCATCAAGATTTAGTGCTCTGGGTGTTGGTGTGTAGCACAACCCCATGTAGAGGAAACAGCCAACATATATAAGAAGATGTCTGGTCATACAGAACTATAATTAACTGGGTAATGTCAAAATTAACAGGGGTATGAAGAATACGTTTTAGGGGTATGAAAATAAATTTTACTTCTTCATATCCCTTTTTAGACAATTACTATTAATGAATGTCAGTTCTCTGGCTATATATACTAACAAGTTTATTTAGTGGAAAATTGTGTCTCGATTTATGTTCAAATGAATTTAATTTAATTGAAAATTGGAATTTGGACAGTCTCTTTTTGTGTACATTTGGTTTTTTAATTGAAGTATTTTTTGAGGTTGATTTATTGGTTATTGTTCATCAAATTTCTGAAATAAATTCCTTTTCATTCAACAGTGAACCTATTCCCACTATGAGGCAAGGTGCTGGCAGAGCCATGCTATGGGGATAGACTTTGCTGCTCTTCATTTTATTTTATTGCAGCATTTTTCATTTGCATGTGTTTTGTGTCTGTCTTAGCTAGTCTATTTTTTCTGCTTGCATGCCTCATTTATTTTTATATTTCATATTTTTTATTTTATATTCTGTTTATTTTTTTCAGTGAAAAATCCTACAAGAAAAGTGAGGGTATGAAGACAAACAACAAGCTGAACTCACTCACCCACCTGCTCTTACCATAGACATTAACAGATACTGGGCTAGTCCTTCCTCAGACTGTTTTTCACAAAGGAACAAGTAAAGAAGCATGAAAATATTCAAGGTTAAAAAAAATGAAGGTAAAAACCTTGACATCAGAAATGCTGGCAGTGCTGAGCGCATCTTGGATTGAGAAAGTGAGTCTTCCATAATTTTTCAAGGTCAACATGATTGAGACAGTCCAGTAATCTAGGTGTTGGTGCGCAGCACAAACCCCACTATCTTAGAGGCTGCAGGCAACACTGCCCATGTCATCTTCATGTTTTATTCATTCTGAATGTCATATTATGGCATTCAGAAACCCAGATCAAAATCTGCACCTGCAGAAATATTTCATATCGTACCACTTCTCCATCCTTCTCCATCTGGTTTGCCAGACACAGAGAGAGAGAGAGAGAGAGAGAGAGGGGGTAAGAAAGCCTCCTTCAGCTCAGCCATGTTGGATTATTGAAAGTAGAGCTTTCAGAGAGGTCTCTGCTCTGGGAACAAAAAAAAAAAAAAAAGGAAGAGAGAGCAAGAGAAGAACTGTAGTATGCATCAATTATCTTGGAGAGTCTGTGGCGTGCTGGAGACTGTCTTGTCATATTTCCCAAAGTGGCTGGGCTATGGAGAGGTCCTTGGCTAGCACTGACATTTAGAAACTGGTGTGGAAATCCCAGTCTGTTTGTCAAAAAATATGAATAAATAATGGACAAAGGGCTGCGCTGCCTGCCTGCAAAGCCTCCCAGGCTTGAAATTCCTTCAGTGTCATTGACATAACTAGACACAGGCATCAG